ACAAGCAACTACCAAAATGTAGAAATCAAGAGGTTTTACACTCAAGAAAGAATCTGGGGCACCTGGGTGGCTCGGTCAGTTGGACGTCCAACTCGATTTCGGCTGGGGTCATGATCTTGCCATCAGGATCTCTCATAGGTGGGATCAGCTCCAAGTTGAGCTCTGCACTGACAGCGTGGAGGCTGCTTAGGATTCTCTCTCCCTCTCTCTCTGCCCTTTCCCCACTCAAGCACATGTGCGTGCACATGGGCTCTCTTTCTCTCAAAATAAACATAAAAAAAAAAAAAGAATCTGTACATCTGTTCTTATATAACAAGGAGGGGGGCGGGGAGCAAAGCAGAATCTGGCAATACTAAGCTTGCATTGCAGCTTGGTGACAGTTGGGGCCAATGGTGGGCAGCCATTTTTAGTCAGGGCTCAGTAAACCTGAGTCCCAGTAGGCCTGGTTTTGAGTTTGAGTTTTGGAGCTCCTGATCTATTGCTTTCATTGCATTTTCAGAGGAATTTCTGCCTCAAAGCACATTCATAGCTCTTAGAAGGAGGTGGCCAGTGAATGGTAGCTATTTGCTTTATAGGTAAGGAAACTGAGGTAAGCTTGCCTAAGGCACAAGGGCATGCAGCCAGCAGTAAAACTACCTTTTCCAACTATTCCTTTTATTACTCTTCTCACCTTCCTGCTGATACTTCTAGAGACTTAATTACCGCATTATGTTCCTTTTTTGATTACAACTAAGGAAAATCAGTGATCAAGAACATGCCAGACATTCCAAAATGGCGCTATCAGGCTCTGTGATCTAATCACAAGGAAAGTTTTGCCTGGCTCTAAGTATCTTTAGTTGGTGTGGGCAATTTGAGGGGCCCCTCCTGGCCTATATCCCAACACACTCCAATACTAGGGAAGATAAAAAGTATGCTAATCTTGCAGAGAAATAAAATCCCAAGAAAGCATATATTCTCCAAGGTCACCGCACACACCTGTTACGGAAAGGCCAAGTTTCTGACAGACAGACCCTGGACCAGATGGTCTGCTCACATCAAAAATGACCATTGTAAGAAACTTTGAATCCGCAATCTGCAAAGTGAGGAGAGAACCTTGGTTGCCCATACTCATTCATTCCAGTAGGCTTGGAGTTTGCCTGGAAGAAACTTCTGTATGATGGCCATACGTAGTTTAGAGAAAAGGAGAATAGATCATGATCAAATCCGCCAGGCTGATCTCTCTAGTCAACATGTATAGCACCGTTGCGGTTCTGGAATACCTGACCTTTACCCATTCCTAGTGTTTCAAGAACCAGAGCCAGCATAGCACAGAATCACTCCACAGAGGGCTGCAAAGCAAACGCTGGCAGGAAAAATGCAGGGAAGGCACCTGCCTGTGCTACCAAGTAAACTTCTTCGTTTCCAATCAAAATGCATCAGGAGGCCCTCAAGAGGCACATGCTTACAAACTCAGAAAAAGAACGCAACCTCCAAGCCAAACAAAACTACCACTTGTCACTGCTCCCTATTGCGTAACTGGTCACGGCACTCTGAGATAGTCTCAAGAGTTTATCTGTACTATAAATAACTGACGACCTCTTCCTCAGAGATATGGAACCACCACGGAAAGAAAAGGAAAGCAGCATTAGGCCACCCCAACAAGGCGACCTGCCAAACATTCTGGTGCTAAGCGCATCAAAAGAAAGTCCCCAGGGCAATCCATGGCCATCCCCTCGCATGCCCTAGAAAGCCGGGGATCCCAGGCAGCAGCTGAACCCAACTACAACTAGGTTCAGTCACCCTAATCAAATGATAGGATGAACTCCATTATGGGGTTTATGTGAAAATCTATTTTTTTTTGTTTAATTGTGGTAAAATACGTATCATGTGGAATTTGCCATCTTAACTATTTTTAAGTGTGTGGTTTAGTATTATTAAATATAGTCACATATTTGTGCAACCAATCTCCAGAACTTTTCATCCTGTAAAACTGAACCTTTACACCCGTTAAATAACTCATTTCCCTCTTCCCCCAGCCTCTGACAACCTCCAGTCCACTTTTCCTTTCTTTGAACTGGACTAGTTTATATACATTATATAAGTGGAATCATATAATAATTTGTCTTTATCTTCTTATGACTGCCTATTTTAATTAGCATAACATCTTCAAGGTTCATCCATGTTTTAGCAGGTGTCAGATTTTTTTTTTCCTTTTTAAGGCTAAATATTCCAGTGTGTGTGTGTGTGTGTGTGTGTGTGTGTGTGTGTGTGTGTAAACACACCACATTCTGTTTACCCATTCAGAAAATCTATCTCTATATCTCAGGAGTATGATGATGTTGCTCTGGTGACACACAGGTTATGAAGTTCAATTTATAACTGTCATGATTTTATATGCACAAGAGAGACAGGCAGAGACAGACACAGCCTTGACTATGCCATGTTCGTATTCCAGGAAAAGAACAACAAGCTAACCCAAGTGGCAGTGGAGCTAAATTCCAGCAGCAAGAAACATCACACCATTCCTCTCCAGCTCAAAAATAAGTTTTGTTCACTGTATATTTCCAGGTTCTGGAACGGGTCTCAGCACATGGTTGGCACTCATAAATTTATAAATATCTGTTGACTGAATGAATCCAGAAAAATGACTCAATGCTCCAAATCCAACAGTCGGAATGCCTCTGAATAGAGAGAGATGAGGTTGAGGGATAGAAAAAGAAACTTCTGTTTGAATTTCTTCTTTTTTAACATTTATTTACTTTTGAGAGAGAGAAAGAGAAAGAGAGCGTGAGCAGGGAAAGGGCAGAGAGAGAGGGAGACACAGAATCCGAAGCAGGGTCCAGGCCCTGAGCTGTCAGCACAGAGCCCGATGCGGGGCTTGAATTCACGAACCGCGAGATCATGACTTGAGCCGAAGTCGGACACTTAACCGACTGAGCCACCCAGGCTCCCTGTTTGAATTTCTATTGGTACTGTTTAAATTATTTACCACAAGAAATTATTTTTGCATTGTTAGTGGAATTTTTTTTGAGGGCAAAAAATCTGAAAGGATAATTTGTCATTAAAAATACATCAGTTCAGGGGCCGCCTGGGTGGCTCAGTTGGTTGAGCATCAGACTTCAGCTGAGGTCATGATCTTACGGCTCATGAGTTCAAGCCCCACGTCAGGCTCTATGCCGACAGCTCGGAGCCTGGAGCCTGCTTCGGATTATGTGCCTCCCTCTCTCTCTGCCCCAACCCACTCACATTCTGTCTCTGTCACCCTCAAAAATAAGTAAACATTAAAAAAAATGTTTTTTAAAAATACATCAGTTCAGTTCACTTTATGTGTACCCTTTCTCAGAGAGCTACTGGAATGAGTGCTCCAACAAAATGGTAGAAAAAATCAAGAAGACATGGGATAGAAGAAATAAGACCCATCATGACAGAGGCAAATTCTTAGTGTTGTAAAGCACCGCCCTGGGTTTAAAGCTGTTTTCCTCCTTCATGCTGCTGAAGGCAGACCCCAAAGTAACAGCTGTGCATCCAACATCATGAGCAACCGGTCTGGGCTGGTAAATCAGGTCAGAAAGCTGGACTTGAGATAAAATTGGTTGAAATAGGGGCTAAAATGGGATCATCTTAAGAGAAGATTTAAGTAACTGGCAAAGAACTTGTCGGTTAAATTATTGAAAACACCATAGAAAATTCTGGAAACACAGAAAGACAACTCTGGGGGGAAACAAAAGTCAGAAAGGAGGAGTGATCATATAGTACATAATTCAGCTTTTAACAGTGTGTAAGAAGGCATAATTCTATGCCTTCTTACAGTATTTAGACTGTACTAAATACTGACCTAACTAAAAATTATGGTGGAAAGAACGGGAAGGATGCATGTGACTGGTAGTTGCAGGAATGCAAAAGAAATCTAAATTCTCATACTCCACCTGGAAAGATAATGCATGATGACTACACCCGAAAAATCAAGAAAGAGCAACATAGGTATTATTTAGGGCATGAGTAAGTACTAACAAGCTAAAAGCAATGAACATGAAATGCTCTTTCTGAAAAGCAGGAAATGATGGGGGGGGGCTGCTATTTTTAATAACAAACCTTATGGAATTATTTGACTCTGAACTATGTGTATACACAACTTCAATAAAATTAAGAGGCAAAAAAGAAAAAAAAAAAACACAACTGGGACCCACACTGGAATATCTTACTTCACAATGATTTTTTTGAGATAGAGATAGAGAGAAAGAGAGTGGCAGTGGGGAGGGGGGTGCGGGCAGAGGGAGAGAGAGAGGGAGGGAGAGAGAGAGAGGGAGGGAGAGAGAGAGGGAGGGAGAGAGAGACAGAGAATCTTAAGAATCTTAAGCAGGCTCTATGCCCAGCAGGGAGCCCGATGTGGGACTTGATCTCACAACCTATGAGATCATGACCTAAGCTGAAATCAACAGTCAGTCGGATGCTTAAGTGACTGAGCCACCCAGGTGCCCCAATTTTTTTAACAGGAAATAGTTGCCATGTTGGTTTCTAATGGCACACAAAGGAATAACTGAGTTACAGGTAGGATGGATGCTTTGAGTTCCAACACTGGACGGTTCTACAGAAGTGTAACGAAAGTCCCTCTAAGAGTGTTTGGGCTCTTCAGCCTGTACGGAATTACCCATGACCAAAAATCTATTGAGAAACAAAAGGAGGCAAGACATACTTCAGGTCCAATATTTACCAAACCTTGACAGTTCGGGCATGGATGTCTTGCCAAAAGCATGAGCCATGATAGAAAATTGTAAATAGTCAAGATATGACCAAAATTTGTTCCAAATCACCAGTGTGCTGTATGGGTCTTTTCCCTCTCCAGGATACAATCAGTTCAAAGTCCTATTCATAGCCTTGTCTATCGAGGCAAGTTTAATACTAGACTACTAGTCTTTAATTTTGGCCCCCAAAATGAGGCTGATGCTGAGTCCCATCTCAAATGATTTCCAAGCCCTGGAAGGTTGGGGAGGAGGAAACTGGGGGGGGGGGGGGGAGGGGGGAAGGGGCGGGGGTAAGAAATGGCCAGATTCTTACAAACTCAGATGTCAGTCTCATCAGAACACTTAACACTTTGTCAGTCGTGGAAGAATCCAAGGCAGATGAAAAATGAACATCAACATTTGTATACCAGGAGAAAGAAATTAAAGAACTTGGTTCCCACCCTGGCAGTGAGGGGTGACCCCACCTTCTCCCTAGAGCAAATGATCAAAATCCTTTGTGTAGATAGAATACTTGTATTCTTAGTGTTGTAAAGCACCGCCCTGGGTTTAAAGCTGTTTTCCTCCCTCATTTTTCTCACCTGTAAACCAGTGAGTTAGGGTGGGGTGGGGGGAGGGGTGACGATAAACCTCATAGGGTTACTGCCAAGATGAGGTGATTAACAATTGCAAAGTTTTGCAACCGGCTAAGTGCGTTGGGCGTTATTTTCTAAGTGCGTGGCATATGAAGCAGCTCATTTAATCTTCAAATTATAAACATTATCATGTCATTTTCCAGATGAGGAGACAGAAGCACACAGATTGAGTAACTTGCTCAGGATCCTAGTTAGTGGCGGAGCTGATACGCTAATTCAGGTGATCTGGCTCCAAAGACAGTGCTCCTAACAACCAGTCTGTACCGAAACGAATGAAACACGATGCGCTCAGTAGACGTTATGTGTTCACACACAGTGTGCACCAGTCCGGACAAAGAAGGTAAGTGATAGCCACCTTGAGGTCTGGCTGCCTGACGAGACCAAGGTCTCCACTCCTCTCCCTAGGTCCCCAAGCGCACTTCTTTCCCAAGGGTCCCCAGCGGCTGCGGGCGCCCTCCCTCTCCAAGCCCCCAGAATTCCAGCCCCGCTGCTGGCCAGGAGTGGAGAGGAGCCGGTCCGCAAGGCCCCAGACCGCGATCCCGGCGGCGCGAGGTCGGGGGCCCGAGTTTACCTTGACCTGCACTCTCATCGCTCCCGGACTCCCGCACGGGGTCGCGCAGGGGCGCACAGAGCACCTGGGCACTTCTTCCGCGGGCTCCGGGAACCGCGGCGCCCGGCTGGGCCGGATCGCCGCCGGCCAGACGTGCCCCCCGGCCGCTCCGAGCTGCGCCTTCTCTCCTCCCTGCGTCCGGCTCACGCCACGTCCGGTCTCCTCTGCCACCGGCCCCGAGCGGAACCAGAGAACGCGTCCCTACCGCCCTAAGCTGAACCCCGTGCCCCGTTAGGTTTCCGCTCTGACACCACCTCTGCGCTGGCCCCATCCCAGCTTCTGGACTGGCGACTGCGGGACCAGCCCTTTAGTGGGTGCCCTGCATTGGCCAAAACCTCAGAGATGATAATCAGCTTCTGGTGGAGACCCGAGGGCTAGGGAGAGCAGGTATTTCGTAAATCCTAGCTATTCTAGATCCGAGTTAGATACTTTTGCGACTGGCCCCACCCACAGCCACCGAGGGCCCTGGGTGCAGATCAGGTGAGTGGCCTAAGGCTCTTTTGCCCCACCAAGCCTGGGCTGCCCTGCCTACCTGTGAGCGCTCCACAGCCCGTCGGGCTTTCATCCTTGCCTTGCAGGCCCCGCTAGCAAAGCCTTATCTGAGCTTCTGACTTGTGGAGTCAGATCTGGGCTCCACCTCCACTCGCTGCCTTTTACAGCCCTGTAGATTTGTCATGATACTTTTTCCCCTCAGTTACCGCCTGTGTAGAAAAGATGTGTGTCGACCTTACCTAAATGAAAAGAGTATAGTGAGGGTCAAATGGAATGTTCAACAACAGACAGATTTGTGGTATTGCATTGTTCTTGTTGAGTCACTGTGGTGGGGGGAGGACACGAGACATTTACCCTTATAGCACTTTTACTATGGAGGAGTTAGTGGGTATGCCAAGGGACCCCCTGGCACCTGAGTTTACTTATCTATGCCGTGGGAATGACAGCAAATAAACCCACCTTCCTCAGAGGTTCTACTGAGCAAAAGAAATCCACAAAGGGCCAATACAAATGCTTTCCTGGTTTCGGTGTATTTTCAGTGCATTCTCCTAGCTAGGAGTCTTGATTAAGGCTGGGTCTGTGACTATGAGTGGATCCCAGTATGCTGGCAGAAGTCATTCTCACTTGTAATTAATTACAAGTGTTGTAATTAACAATGCTAGCTATTCATCCCTGATTATTGACTTCAGATTAGGGGCGCCTACCATTTTAGTCCATTCTGAATTTCTGCCCAGGGAGCTCACATTTGCAGACATGGGTTCCCCCCCATTTCTCAGGGTGGTTTTAACAAACATTTCTTTGTTTATTAGAAAACTTGAACCTCTCATATGTGTAGTAACATTTTGTTTTCCTATTAACACATTCAATCTTTCCTCTCCTTGACCCATCTCCTTCAAACTGTTAATGATCTGTAAGCAGTTAACAGGTTCAGAAGCTCCCACTTAAGGCAGTTAAGCATGTCTTGATTGGTGTTCCTCCATGTATGTCCCCTGTTAGGTCTCTAGGGACTGGAGCTCTCAGAAATCTGCAGACCTGCCAAGAAGACTGGACATTTGAGATCCAAGGTTCTTAGGAATCTTGGTGCACTGTGATCACTATCTTCTTGTTTAATCTTTGGTACATTTACATGTTGGTATGGTTATATGTTCATTTCAGATCAAGCTACAAGGCACAAAGTCTAAAATACCACAGCCATACTAGGATATACCAGGGCAATTCCAGGGCGTATGGCATCTGATGGGCTAGTTTACAAGCTGCCTTCAGTTCCCAAGCTGGATCCGAAACACCTGAGCCATCGGTGAAAACTGCAGATTCCCAGGGCCCCACCCACCCCTCCCAGACCACTTGTATTGGAATCTCTGGGGTGGGGCCAGGGAATCTGCATCTTTTACAAGCACCTTGATCAACTTAAAGGCTTATCTATAGAAGTCTTCTGGCCATAAATATACCTATGCCCAGAGACTAGCTATGAAATTTAAACTTTAGAATGTTCATTAGTAGTCTAGTGTGGCTTGTGATTCAGGCCAAAAAATATTTCCTGAACACAGACTGTTTGTCAGGTATCCTGCTGGGTGTTGGGAAAACAAAGATGAATAAGACATTGTCCAGTCTGCAAGGAGTTTGAGTTTGTAGGAGGAGGAACAATAAAAAATGAAACAGTACCTGGGGCACCATTGGTAACCCTCGTCAACAGAAACAGCGTTGTATTTTCTCATTTGTTGCCCTCCCTTAGACTTTTCTTCTTTTGCCCATTCTTAACTCCTATGTCTTCGGCTTTGTCAGACCTCCCTTTTTTATCCTAGACCTTGTAAATGTTTGATTCCTGACCCAACATGGGTTTAAAGTCAATATGAGATTTCAGAATGGAAAGGAACAGCTGATTTTTCCGCAGAGAAAAATGGGTATGACAACATTTTTTTTTTTTTTTAATGTGTGAAGATCTTAATGAGTCCCGGTAATTGGAAGCCACTAAGGGGTAGCTTCTAAGATATGTGTTCTTCTCTTGAAGAGAATTGCTTCAGGCTTGGAATTGTTTTGGTTGGGTTTCCTTTATTTGGACAGGAGTGAGGGTTGTTGGGGTTTTTGCACAGTAATACTTCCCAGCCTCTCTGGACAGCCAATGGGGAGAAAATGAGGGGGAAAAAAAAAAAACAAACTCTGTGCCTTTACACCAAGAAGAGACACCACCATGGGAAACCTCTTGCCCAATGCATCAGGGCATATGATCACCTCTAGTTTGTGGTCACCACTTTCCTTTCCGAAGCATAAAGGAAACAAAACAAATGCCATGGTATTCTGAAGGGGGTAGTGGAAACTATGATAAGCCTACTGTGTGGTGTTCCACAAGTGGGGAAAGTTTAAAGGAATGGGTTATGAATTGAAGAAGTCAGATGAAGGTGTATGGCCAGTAATGAAGGATGAAATTCAGCTCTCCTAGTCCATTCCTGTGTAACTGTCTCTGTTTTTAGACGTTTCTATTCAAAACCAAGGGTTTGAGTTTGAATTTCACGCATTTATTTTCCCAAACGGCTACAAATCAAATTTCCTATTTTTAAAGCGTTTGCTTATTTCGATAGAGCATGCGCATGGGGGAGGAGCAGAGAGAGAAAGGGAGAAAGAGAATCCCAAGCAGGCTCCACACTGTCAGCACAGAGTCCAACACGGGGCTCAACCTCATGACCGTTAGTTCATGACCTAAGCCAAAACTGACAGTCGGATGCTCAACTGACTGAGCCACCCAGGTGCCCCAAATTTCCTTTTGAAAGGAAGTAATCTATTTTCTTCTGCTTACTGGATAAATTTCTCTCTTATTCAGTGCTTCTAAAGGGAATCTGCTCCCAATTTATTTCTCTATTTGCTATGAACATGGATTATTTCTCCTATTACATAACCAAAGATTAAATTATTAATGGCTGGCAAGGTGAAATAGGAACCCTAAAATACTTTTTGTGAAAGTTTAAAACAATGCCCTTTTAAAAAAAAAATTTTTTTTTAATGTTCATCTACTTTTGAGAGAGACAGAGACAGAGCATGATCAGGGGAGGCGCAGAGAGAGAGATGGAGACACAGAATCCTAAGCAGGCTCCAGGCTCTGAGCTGTCAGCACAGCGCCCAATGTGGGGCTTGGACCCACGAGCCGTGAGATCATGACCAAAGTCGGATGCTTAACCGACTGAGCCACACAGGCACCCCAAAACGATACCCTTTTTGAAGGCATTTTAGCATTCCTGATTGAAGGCATGTCCTTTTCCATCACAGTGCCCATCTTAGGGCTTCATACTTCAGAAATACTCAAGGATGTGTATATAAGGATATATGTAGTAGCACTTTCTATAATGAATAAAGATTGCTAACAACTCACACGGCCGTCATGAACATTGAAATAAACTGTGGTGAGTCCATGCTGTGAAACACCATGCAGCTTTCAAAAGAATGAGTTAGATCTAAATGTACAGATAATAGAAAGGGGAAAGAGCAACTAGTAAAAGTAAGTATCATTCCACTTTTTAAGATTTCTATGTGTAGACTGGAATATGCGCAGGAAAGTTCTAGAAGAATATAGCCAAACTGTTAACAAGGGAAGGCAAACTTACATTAAAAAATTATTCAGTGCTTATCCGAAGTTCAAATTTAACTGGACATCCTATCACACAAGGTTGTTGCACCAGCCCACTTTGGTAGCTTCAAGCAGCTGTGGGTGCTCTTTTAAAGTGTGTATTACAGGGGCACCTGGGTGGCTCAGTTGGTTAAACGTCCAACTTCGGCTCAGGTCATGATCTCGCAGTTTGTGAGTTAGAGGCCCTGGTCAGACTCCGTGCTGACAGCTCAGAACCTGGAGCCTGCCTCGGATTCTGTGTCTGCTTCTCTCTCTGCCTCTCCCCTGCTCATGCTCTCTCTCTCTCTGTCTCAAAAATAAATAAAACATTAAAAAAAAAGAGTCTTTAAAAAAATAAAAAATAAAGTGTGCATTATAGATGATGACACCAAAACCTAAGCTCCACCAGAGCTGCACCTTCACATTCAACTCTGAATGATTACTGGAGGGAGGGAGGATAAGAAGGGTCTTAAAACTGGTTGAGCACCTGTAACAAATTGCTGGGCCAGCTGAATCTGGTCGATGACCACAAACTCCTTCCATCCCAGCACACACCTCTTTGCGATGTGACTCTGCGACAGCCCCCACCCCTACCCCACCCCATGCAGTGGCTCCATTTCTTCTCCACAGCCCTCAATCCAAACTAAACTTGTGGCCAATAAAATATGGCCACAGTGACAGGGTTTAAATTCCTGAGTCTAGGCCCCAAGCAGCCCTGAAAGCTTCGGTCTTCACCCCCTGGGCACCTTACCCTAGCCCACCATCCTGGGAAGAAAGACCACGTGGAGAGACGAGCCAACCCTCAGAATTACGTGGCATTATCATCTGATGCTATTTTAAGCCACTAAATCTGGGGGTTATTCATTGTGAGGCAATGCGTAACTCAGTTTATTTTCTCATTCTTTTCCACACAGAATCTCTGTGAGGATTCACTGAAGGTCAGAAATCTTCACTGTGAGTCTCACCGGTTTCTCAACTTGTAAGGTGTGAGGCCAATGAAAATTTGAACACAGGTCTATGGGGCTGTAAAGATCTACTGTTTTGTTTTGTTTTCTTTTCTTTTTTACATACACCTTGAACATAATGAGCGTTCATTAAAAATTTAGTTGGATAACGAACTGTATGAGTCAGAGATTGGTTTTTATTACTTGCATATATCAGAACCAAGAATATATTTATTTGACAGGAAATGTCTACCATTACTAACATTTTAACCTTTAATCCTTTCCTCTTGATTAAGTTACTTGGAAGAAAAAACAAAAAACCCCAAACCCACTACTCAACCTGTTATGTTTTCCCTGAAAGGGGAGCCACAGCTGCTCATCCATGGAACAAGTATTCTGGTAGCTTAAGGAATTTCACTATTGCATTTTAGGGGAGAAAACTGAAAGACAGAAAATATGTGGTTTAAGTGGAAGAAACCAACTAACTGAACCCTCCACACCTGACTCATTTATATAGCGCTGCCTTTTTTCTTTTCAACTTATTTCTAAGTGAATAGAACCTCACAGAAAGTTATAAAAATCCTATGTATGTAATCCCTTGAACTAAAACGAGAGCCTTTTAGGGGCACCTGGGTGGCTCAGTCGGTTAAGTATCCAACTCTTGATTTTGGCTCAGGTCACAATCTCATGGATGTGGGATGGAGCTATGGGTTGGGCGTGGAGCCTGCTTAAGATTCTCTCTCCCCCTGCCCCTCCCTTGCTCGTGCCTGGGCACTCTCTCAAATAAATAAATAATGAGAGTCTTTTAAAAGCATTTTTTTAAATTTATTTTTTAGTGTTTATTTTTGAAAGAGAGACAGAGCACAAGTAGGAGTGGGGCAGAGAGAGAATCCAAAGCAGTCTCAAGGCTCCGAGCTGTCGGCACAGAGCCCAACATGGGGCTTGAACTCACGGACCGTGAGATCATGACCTGAGCCGAAGTCAGCCGTTTAACCAACTGAGCCACCCAAGTGCCCCTAAAAGCATTTTGACTTAATATATTTTAAGTATTCCTTCTGAGATATTCTTTACATTATCAATGTGTGCCATGAATAAAGGAGGGAAGAAATGGCTACTTATTGGGCACTCACTGTGGGCTGGGTACTTTGTTATATACCTTATTTTTATTTAAGACATTATTAACCATCATTCTATACAATAACTGAGCCAAAAAAGGTCAAAACTTGCCCAGAGTCACGGGCTGAGTAGAAAAACTGGAATTCTGGGGAGAGTCTGTCTGATTCCGAGGCCCACGGTGTCTCCATCCTGCCGGAGGTCCTCTCCAGAATAATCTCAAATTCATTTACTACTGAGGTCTCATTTTGCTATTATTTATTTCGTTTTCATGTCCCTTCAGTGAAGTTATTTATAAATGCTGAGCAAAGACCCATTTTTCTTCCAGCCAGCTTTCAGGGCAGTAGTAGGTCTACACAGCCAAAGCAACTGCAGGCTTCCAGTGCCGACGAGGCCTCTACACCCTTCTCTACACAAATTGCGTATGATTTACTTAATGAGAAAGATGCCCGGGCATTTCTGTAATATCCTTGAAGGTATGATAACTCAAACTTTTCTGAGATAAGGTCATTATGTTTAGATATTAAATCTGGAATTGCTGTAATCCAAGCACAAAATTTATCTGGCCATTTTAAGTAAATAAATCCTGAGGGTTGGCTGTGTGGTTCTGAAGGTTGGCTGGTCTCTCTCTACATGGTCTTTCCTCCCAGGATGGTGGTTTTACATGAGGGGGAGGGTCGAGGCTGCAAGGCCACTTGAGGCCTACACTCAGGAACTTCACAGCTTTGGTGAAATGGAGACTGTGTTACTCGCCTAAGAGTAAAATGCTGTCATAGAAGGCTTTACAACCCTGGGACCCAGAAAGATCACATCTAGAACTCTTGCCCCAAAAAACACCTTATGTACGACGCTAATTCATATAACAAGATATTCGTATCAAAATTATATAGTACATTAGGAATTAGCTTAAAGGCTATTATTAGAGAAGTAATAAATTATTATATGGGCAATATGTACCTGTTGAAAAATACTAACAAAGAAGATTCCAAAGGAAAGCCGAGGAGGAAGTTAGAAGGGAGTATATACTGTATGAGTACACCTATGTAAAAAACTACGTAGACAAAAAATTAGAAATGGCTCCTTTTTGTTTTTTCCAAGTATTCTGTAATGCGATCTTATTATTTTTGTAATTTTTAAAATTCATTAAAAGTGAAAATCTCACATATCTTGGAATGACTTATGGGATTACCTGAAATTCCCATTTTGTACTCTTTCTCATCATTTATTGCCTCTGATGAATAAAATGTGAATCACTCATTTCCCAGACCCTTTGGGCCCAAAGTTCAGAACCAGTGCTATTATTTTTTTTATATTCTATGATTTATCTATTACCCTCAATAGCCTGGTGCTTCTTAACCTCACAGGCTAGTATAATTTTGTTCAGGCTACAGCTGTTTAACTGAACACAAAACCCTGATGCCAACTTCTTCTTTGCCAAGGAAACTATTGCATCAATACTGACGGAGATAAAGATCAATAATGAAAGAGCAACAACATAAGAATGAAAACATTTCTATGTGAATTTCAGCAGGAATCCGCATATTATCGTGATGTATGAAGTTTCCCATTGGCCTTTCACAGTAAGGACACACAGTTACAGATTATACTTTGCAAGAACGTGAAGGTCTGAGATTTCTATACCTAAGCCTCTAACACCTCAGTCAAGCAAAGTGTATATTCCTTTCCCTGACTTTTCTTCCACATACTATTTTGCAAGTATAAGTGATCAATTCGATATGCTGTTTCTTGAACGTACCCCAAAACTTTGGTCACTATAGACACTTTGAACTAACTCAAGGTAGTTCCTCCACAGAGCTCAGAATTCATCATATTTATTATTCTGTGAACCGTAAAATCCCTGTGGAGAAGGGGGAAGGAAAAAAATAGCTTTCATTTCATAAGTAAATAAAGTCAGGACTCATAGCAGAGAATTACCCGCTAAGGTGCTAAAATCTGGCCAGCCTATCCGTGGCTCCTCCCAGACAGGGCATCCCACAGCTTGGTAGGCGCTCTAGTCAACTGTCACTTGAAGATCCCTCTGTCACCAGTGTCCAATCTTTATTGCCCATCTGGAAAGAGGACTCTTGGAGCACAAATAATGCTCCCCAAAAAGTCCCTATTTCTCTACTGATCCTTCATTTTTTTAATTCTCTCTTATCCATCTTATTCAAACCTAATAGATGTGCCTCCTGATCATGATGTGTGCCAGGAGGACAGTGCCCACCAACTCTCCAGATGTTAACTTCTCTACTATTGTGGCACTCTTGCCAATTTCCTACCATCCCTTCTGTTATTAGTTGAAATTGTGGCCCTCGTAAAAAGGTATGTTGGAATCCTAACCCCCAGCACCTCAGAATGTGACCTTTTTTGGAGACAGGATTTTTTCAGAGGTAACAATTTAAAATGAGGCCGTTAAGTTAGACTCTAATCGAATATGGTGTGGTGTCCTTATGAAGAGGGGAGATGTGGACATGTGCAGAGTCACACATAGATGGGAGAAGATAACCCTCTACCAGCCAAGGACAGGGACCTGGAATAGATCCTTCCCTCACAGCTCTCAGAAGACCCAACCCTGCCGATGCCTCGATTTTCAACTTCTGACTTCCAGAACTACGAGACAATAAAATATCCATTGTTTAAGCCATCCGTTTATGGCAGCCACACAAACCAATATGCTTTCCTACCATTAAGATTCATGACAGGGGCACCTGGGTGGCTCAGTCGGTTAAGCGACTGACTTTGGCTCAGGCCATGATCTCATGGTTTGTGGGTTCGAGCCCCATGTCAGGCTTTATGCTGACAGCTCAGAGCCTGGAGCCTGCTTCGGATTCTGTGTCTCCCTCTCTCTCTGCCCCTTCCCCACTCATGCTCTGTCTCAGAAATAAACATTAAAAAAAAATTTAAAAAAAAGATTCATGGCAATTCTCCCTAAATCTGGCCTTTTAATGAGGGGCGTTATTACTCCCTGTTGCCCTAACATAGACCCACATAGTACGTCTAGCCCAGGCATAAATATGAATAGCACCCTTTTTTATTCTCAAAAGAGCCCATGTTTGTGCAATCATCCCACCTACACCACTCACAATCCTTCCTATAACCCACTTCCCTTTAGCCATGACGTTCTTCGCAATCACTGTGGCCTCTGAATATTACAGACTTCCCTTCGTGCAACAACAAAGCATATTCATTTAATAGCCTTCATCAATTTTTGTTTTGTTTTGACTAGACTGTACACCTTGTAAAGATAGGAATTGCTTCTTCCCCGTTGCCTGACCTCGCATTTACATGGTCGAGCATGCAAGAAATGTTTATTCAACCCAATTAAATGGAAGTAAGAGTTTTATTATCTATACCTCTTTGGTAAGCATCATACTTGCTCCAAATTACCCTTTCTTACTTTAAAAGTTACCAAGAAACGGATGTAAACTGCTAAGTATATGCTATGGGGCTCAGGGATTCTCATTAAAAAAGTATGAAGAATAAGCAAGTTGAAACATTTTAGCTTTTAATGGCATTAGTATGCTTAGGCCAGCATGACTGTATCGACAGAGGAAAGCCGGACTTGTACAAGTATTAGTATCGTATTTCCATAAGATATTTTGCGAAGTTGTCATAGCGTAACGGAAATCAAAAACCACAAAAGGAGATGATTGCTGCAAATAATGCATCTCCTCATTGAAATGAGCAGAGATTAGAAGACACACACTTTCCTCTGGACTGTCAGCTAGATCTAAAGAGACAGGCACACTTATTTATAGACTTAAAAGTCCCAACTAGGACAGCATCGAGAAGACACCAGCCCGATTGCCGCTCCTTGAGGCTGTATGCAGAAACAGAAAAGGATCTGTAATCATGGTCATGGGACCCAGTCAGTATCAGGACCACCCAAGAAAACAAGAGTACTTCAGGAGGCTGTTACTCAGAGATGTCTGGACACTTGGCCTCTTTCTTCCCCGGTTAGAGTGAGCACTTAGCGATAGCAGGTTTCGTTCTGAAGAACTAAAAGAGCAGGATGTCGGTCAACATTGCCTGAACGGAAATGCAAGGTTCCCAGTGTAACTTCTTCCAGAAGGGTGGTGTAAACCCAGGGATTATAGGGCTTGTGGCCCAGAAGAGACCGGGCTCCTTTCTTGACTCTGTCCACAGGTGTCAAGGGCAGCTTCGTATTTCAGGAGGAAAACCAAAGAGAGGGTGGCCCCCGTCATTTCTCTGGGTAGACACCTCTTCTCCAAAGTTCTGAATCATGGAGGCACTTGGGTGTGCTCAGAGCTCCTCCCTGATGCTGCTGGAGCTAGAAACGGCCTTGCCTCTTTCTTTTGCAATGGTTTCAATTACACCAAATGCAATCTGTAATTCAAGTGTCGACCCACTGAACTGTCAGTTCCATACGAGATGACACAGGAAGTGCAAGACGGAGAGCTGATGAGGAGAACGAGGGACACCTGGGTGGCTCAGTCGGTTAAGCCTCCGACTCTCGGTTTAGGCTTCGGTCATGATCTCACGGTTTGTGAGTTCGAGCTCCACATCGGGTTCTGCACGGACAGTGCAGAGACTGGGATTCTCTCTCTCCCTCTCTCTCTGCCCCTCCCCCACTAGGGCTCTCTCTCTCTCTCTCTCTCTCTCTCAAAATAAATGAATAAACATTTTAAAAAGGGGGGAGGGGCGTTCCCTTAACGTCACCCACTGTACACAGTGGCAGAGTGTGGCTACAAAACGGAACCTGTTAAGAGAAGAATCCATCTGATACAGCAGAGAATCCCTCTTCCTGACTCCCAGGGAGCACACAACCACCATGTGCAGCAATGACAGACACTGCTCCGAATAAGGACTGTTTCCATCCTGAGTGACACAGGCCAGGAGAGAGGCCAGGAACCCATCACCTCTGTACCTCGGTCTCCATGGGAAAATCGGTTCTGGGTTCCAGACCGCTTCTTTACAAACTAGCTCACACAGCGGATGACTTCTAGGAGTAAGACTGCCTGCGGGTCTTACCCGGGACCCCCGGGTAAGAGCACAGCAGGAAGTGCTCGGGGAGCATTTGTGAAGAGGAAGCGGCAAGCCCGCTGGGGCGGGCGAGGTAAGGGGGGGCGGGCGGTGAGAGTTCAAAGGGGCATGTGGCATACCTACACACTCTGCAGAGGACATCTCTGCAAAGGAACTGCCTTGTGAGGTTTTGGTTCTTCCAGTTTTTCCTCATTCCTCTTGTCTTTTGAAATTCATTTATCAAAGCTCAGTTCCACAGGAGTATGCGCACAGAAAACCGGAAAGGATCTGTAGATTGTCCCAATGTGGATATGCCGGTTTTGATATTGTACCACAGACAGTCGTGTAAGCTGTTACCATTAGGGGAAGCTCGGCGAAGGGCACACGAGGCCTCTCTGTGCTATTCTTGCTACTTCCCGTGAATCCATAATTATGTCAAAAGAAAGAGAAACGCTCAGCTCCAGAGGTTTCTGCAGCACAGCCTTGCCCAACAACCTGACTCACACACCTGCCGACTGCCTTGGCTTGCTGTCCCTTCACATAATTTCCAAACTGCATCTTGCCTGTTTTCTAACTGTTTGTGCCACACCGCTTAGCATCCGCGTCTGTTTACGCTTGTATTACTTACACTACCGTGTGCTTACACACAATGAGACAAACACACACAGGTGGATGCAACACTATCCCGTTCGCTGTTTCTTATGTGTGTCTATCGTGAATCCCCAGCAAAACTGTAAGCTCTTTCACCTCCTTCCTTGGCACACCGTGGCACTGCCCACTGTTAACTGCAGGGCAGGTACTCGATAGATATTACGTAAGAGCGACTGAAAAGGCAAAAAATGTTAAAGAAAATAAAGAGAGAGTTAAAATACCTGACCAACTTTTTTTTTTTTTTTTTTGAAGAATACGATTTGATGCCCAGAAAACATTTACCAGACCAAGATTAGAGTTTAGAGGCACATCTGTCTCCTTTAATCCTAGTTATCGCCATGACCAGGCGGTTATCAACCGAGAAGCACAAAGGTTAATCACACGTGTGTTGTTTGGACCCTTGCCATAGAATACCCCTGAATTCATTGAGGGAAATGCTGAAGGAGCACTTTGCTAACTCCAGAATCCACCCTTCCCTCGGGGTTATCTTGTCTGAATCAAAGGGTGAGCAGGTTTGTTTGTTTAAGCCGAAACCTTGGGTTTAAAAAAAGAAGAAAGAAAGAAAGAAAGAAAGAAAGAAAGAAAGAAAGAAAGAAAGAAAGAAAGAAAGAAAGAAAGAAAGAAAGAAAGAAAGAAAAGGACAAGTAAATTTAAAGTTTTATGAAAAATGTGTGCCTTCAAAATCAATATGAGCAGTATCTCCAAATTGGGGAAACTAGGAACATATCTAGTGACTTTATTTAATAGAGTATATTCTGAGAAAAGGTACCTGCTTATTTAAACTACTTACAGGTTAAAATATATTGGTTGCAGCCTACAAAGAGGGACTGACGTTATCACTTTTATCTAATTTGGCCCTATGGGATAGGGAACAGTCTATAATAATACAGTCAGTGAAATAAACAAAAATCAGAACATGTGCATGGCATTCTTCTTTTTTTTTTTTTTTTTTTTAGAGAGAGTGAGTGTGAGTGAGAGAAAGGCACAGAGAGAGAGAGAGAGAGAGAGAGAGAGAGAGAGAGAGAGAATTTCAAGCGGGCTCCATGCTCAGCACAGAGACTGACATGGGGCTTGATCCCACGATCCTGGGATCACAATCTGTGCCAAAATCAAGAGTCGATGCTCAACTGACTGAGCCCCCCAGGCGCCCCGCATTTCTTTATAATTTAACAACCAAGAATGCATTCCTAGCTGCTATAGTCTTGCTCATTTTTTTTGGTTTTGTTTTTTATGTTACCTTTCATATACATGTTCTTCCTCCATTCCTTTCTTTCCTTA